GGAATCCTCTGGTACAACTCTTTTTTCCCCCTGAGTCAGCTGTTTGTGTCTGCCAGCATGATTGGGTCATTTGGCAGTGACATCTCTTCATTGACCTCCTGCTAGGAAAGGGAAGGAAGAGGAGGGATGAGGGGATAAGAGCAGGGTAGATGAGAGGAGAAGTAGCTATGAAACTCTCTCATTGCTGCATGTTTGTTTTCCACTGTTCTGTTTGGTTCTTGCTGTATATTCATGGCAGATCTTTATGATGTGGAAGTAACTGTTGATTTTTCCACAATGGTTGGTTCTCAGTGGTTTTTTAGGCTATTTCAGAGGTTTTCAGAATGAGGTTGCTCCATTTCAGATTTGTGTTTGACATTTGAGTTTCAATCTAAAGTGACATGAGCTGCAAGAAGTTGAGAATCTGTTCTTATGTGGCCGTTAAATGCCTAAATCTTGTCTTTATTACAAATGTGCTGGTCAAAGAACTTTTCCAAGTTTATATTATGAATTTCATAGCTACACAATAACTCTCATACCTCCCAGGTGGAAAAGTGTGTAGTTCTTGCCTATGCAGGACAGTCTTGACCCTTGATACAGAACACATTTTCAAATCTGTTATGTAGTTTTCTACATCAAATTTTGACTGCAACAAAGGAATCTTCATTAGTGGTTAATCTGTCATTTTTTCAGTTAATAGTTTTTTTTATAAAAAGCATAAACTAACAAATAAATAACATTTTAAAAGGGGTGGGGCAGAATTGCCTGTTATGAGAGTGCAATAAAGATCAAATCTGTCACAGTGAATGCAATCTCATAACAAAATATTGAAATACACCAAAATGCATTAAATTCAAGTGATAAGCTAAATAAACCGACTAGAGGGCAATGTCTGTATTTGGTTAATCCAGTGAATTAAAACCCTCAAAAGTTAATGTACATTTATGCAAAAATCCTGCAAACCCAGTATTAGTCCTGTACACTGATTGATTGCTATATTGCCCATGGTCATCTAATAAACCCAGAGATATTAAAGGGATATATATCTTAAAGTATGTCACAATCTGTGATGGTTGCCATATTTATATTATACCATCATCTCACCCAACCCCAATGCCTCATATTATTATGTAAACAGAGAAAATGATCAAACTCTCATTTATCAGTGTCCGGAACCAGCAAATGTTTGGCATTTTTGCTTATTAAAACTGCTGAAGAATCATGTTCCATTGACTGTTTTAGCAACTGGAACATTTGTGAACTTGAATTGCCTCTTACATTATACTTGTCAGCTTAAAAGAAAGCACAAGAAGAAGCAGTTTAACAAGGCAGAGAGACACAGAAAATGTTTTTGTAAGGTTTACTGAGTCGAGAAAGACTGCTGCACAATGAACTGAAATAAATAAATGAAATAATTTTATCATAATAATTATAGTAACCATCATAGTAAGATTGCTTATTTAGGGTTTCTGTCTTCTTTTATATATATCCTGTGTGCATGAGACTTTGGTTTGTTCCACTGAATGTCCTGGTAGCAGCATTCTGTATCCACGGTTTCACACAGGAGCATCGTCCCCTGGGTCGTTTCCATAGCAATGCTAAAAGAGAAGGCACCCTTCCCGTCGTGCTTGCCCCTGCACATCACTCTCTGCACCTATAAGCTGAGTGTGTTTGTCCCTAGAAGGGGAGGGGGAGCAGGGCTTGGGGAGTAGCCATGAAGAAGGGCTCCAGTTGTCTTTGGTTGGTTGCTGGTTTGGTTTGTGATGATTCGCTGGCTGTTTTTGTTGGTGCAGTTTGGTTTTCATACATTCCAGTTCCTAAAGCTTCAGTCCCTGCATTGAGTTGTCACGGGTTTATGCAGGGACTGGATGGTCCCTTTCCAGAGTCCCTTGTGATCCAGCTTCACTCATGGTTATTGGTGCACTCACTCACTCACACACAAACACACACACATTTCCTCTTGTTCTTCTTACTAACATGCATTTATTCAGAACAGCACTTGCACAATCATTCACTCATTCATCCTTTTGTCATCCATACTTTCATTCATCTGAGAGTCTCACAGGTTCCCGCCAGTTTAGCAGTGAGACAAATAAGTGCGTCACATGTCATCAGTCCATTATTGGTCCATTTGATCTGTGCAGATCACTCTATTCCTTTGTCCACACCGCTTGTCTTCTCCTTCCTATTTTCACTTTTTCTATAGGCTAAGCACCCACTCGCTTGTTCAGTAAGTCTTTCCCACTCTTGTTCTCTCTGTAAGATCCAGTTGTAATCCCATACTTGACACTGGCTGGCTGGTCCAGAACAGGAGCCATGACGTCTTGGTGGTTTATGTGGTTGTGGAATAAAGGCCTTCATAGAGCATGGGATTCTGGCTGCTCTTCAGGTTCCCTGTCAGTATTTTTGGCCTATGAAGGGAAACAGAGTAGGTCCATAGAGCTTCCAGCAACTGACCAGTGCAATGGTCCAGTTGGTCCAGTAAGGGAAGTAAAACTGAGCGAAATGATCACTAACTAGGGGAGCTATCATGGCAAATTAGTAGGTGTAAAGCTAAACCCCATTAATGATTCATCACGTTTCAGGTTTCTGGTCAATATTTGTCCCAACAAGGGGAGGCGTTCAATCGTGTGCGACAGAAGAGATGACTGGGTTAGTCATTGGCAGGCTCAGGTCAAGGCTTTGGATGACAAGACAGTGGGTGTTAGCATTAGCCACTGCTAGCGGGGCCCAGTAGCACGCACCCTCTTGCCCTTCTTGCTAACAGTGGTGTAGCGGAAGGGGGTGGTGAGGTCGGGCTGCTCCCCAGGTGGGGAGCGCTTCATGAAGTGTACGTCCTGTTGATTGGGAAGCGTGTGGGGACCCCGGCGAGGACGCCCTCTTTTAGTAAAGCCCACATACCAGCCTGTGTAGCGCGCTGACATCAGAGCTGTGTAGTTGTTTTCCAGAACCTTTTCCACAAAGACGCAGTCAGCACTTCGATTATTGGCCTTCTGAGAGAGCACAGAAGCCACAGGTGCCCGCACAAACAAACGTACATACACATTGGGGGAAACAGAGAGGCTGGTCAGGAAACTATGAAAATATAATGATTTTCTTATTGTCTCAAAAAGAAGGAAAGAAAAAAGAAGTCTCACCTTTCCTACCAGTTTTCCACGGCGGTTCATGCACAGGTAGAAATTTGTTTCTTTTCCCCGGATTCTCACCTGGCTACCAAAGGTATCGGCCTCCACTACGAGCTGGGCTTGTGAAGGGACAGGCGGAGGGACAGACAGACATTAGAGCCACAGACAACACACAGAGAAATACAGTATGTTGTACAATATGTTTAAAATATTTCACAAGTTTATTGGGCTGTAAAACACAAATATCAGGGTTAGAAAGATTAAGAACATCTTTATTTAGAGCTCATTCAGTTTTAACATTCAAGAATACACTATAAGACCCCATGCCAAGTAGTGTGACACTAACTGGACAGATTACCAATCACCATTAAATCTGTTTTGGCTTTTAAACCTGACAAGGCATCCACAGTCAGTCACAGTTTTAGGATACATAGTTGCTAGTAAAAGCGCTGATAAATCACAGACAGATGTAAATGTCTTGGCCTGAACAGATGGATGTCAGATAAGTCAGGTCACACACATGGATGTGAGGCCTTGTAAAAGAGATAACAGCCGAGAGCAGGTGGAGCACAGTGGGCTGAGAGGAGTGGAGGAACACTTAGGCTGAGTGTTGTTTCAAGATGCCTGTGTGCATGCACGCCTGCGTGTTTGTGTATGTGCAGGTGCATGCATGTTCCTCCTTCCAGGCAAAACGGATTCACTAACTACACATCTTCAGAGAGTGCTTGTGCCTGTTTAAAAATAAATTCCTAAAATGGTTCCTGCCTGACCTTAGTCAACAAAGAGGTCAAGAGAAATCAATACCTCCCTCCCTCTTGCCCTCTCTCTTCCCCCAGCTCTCATCTCCCTTCTGCTCTTTCTTTCCATGTTTATACCTCCACACACTAGCCCCCTCATTGCTTTATTAACTCTCTCTGTACTCTTGGTTGTCCTGTGTAACACCTCATTACCAAAGTTGTCAGTTTTAGGTGGATTTTTCATCTTTTGAATAGTATTTGTCACCAAACAGACTTTTGCATCTATGATCCCATTTATGAAGTAGCATGAAGAACAACCTGATCTGTTTCTAAATACGTGGATATGCACATACAGAAATCTGAATTCTATATTTTTGGCTTGGCTTTCTTCTGCTCACTGATCCTGTGTGTGGTTTAAGAATGGTTCAGACATCATTACAGATGGAAAAGGTTGGAGAGGAGGGGGAGGGAGAGGGGAACAGACAGAAGGAGTATCAGAGGATGGAGGGAGAGAGGGAGAGGAAGCCTGCTGTTTAAAATCCAGAGGAGACAACAGGGAGAATGAGAACTCAATGTAGGGGTCAATAAAAGTGATGAGTTTCTAACAGTCAGTCTGACACTCCTACCTGCTAGGCTTCTCCTTCCAACTCACACCTATTTTCACTAACACATTCTCTCTCTCACTCTTTCTTTGCTCTCTTGTGAATCATTGAGTCAGCAGCCAGTCGATGAGGTCTTTGTACTCCAAAGACAAGCTTCACTGCCCCTGTGCCAAAGCCTGGGGAGGCATGTGTGTGTGTGCTTTTGTGAGTGTGCCTGCACAGTTGCATTCTGTATCCATTCATGCATGCACTTGGTCAACCTTTAAGCCTTTGTACTTGCAGCCTTTAGTTGGTGTGATTCTGTGTGTGTGTGTGTGTGTGTGTGTGTGTGTGTGTGTGTGTGTGTGTAAGTAAGCATCTAACTGTGCATACACTCACATTAACCAGAGTGTTTGCCTGTGTTCAACTGTGTGTGTATGTGTGTGTCTTACCATATTTATCTCCATCTTCTCCTCGGGCACTGATTTTGCGTCCCATCACCTGGACATGTTTGCCACTGGTGCGGCTGTAAAGCTGGTACACCCGGTGGTGCCGCCGACTCATGGTGTCTCGCACCTGTGTCTGGTTCTCCACATGCACACTGAAGTTTACTCCATCCACACCAAGTACCTGCTGAGAACACACACGCAGATGTTGGCACACACATACAGATACAGAGAGTCATGAACAGGATTGATGTCTTTTATACAGTTCAATCATTCTCTGTCATGCATGCAGATTCTCACCTGTAATGGATTGCACATCACCAGTAACATCTGGATACATCTGGAAGAAGTAAAAACAGATGAGTTTAGAAATATGTAAGCAACAGTTAATGTTGGAAAACTCAGGCATGACACCATAATTTCCATCTCTTTCTTCTCCTCTCCTCTTTCTGTTCAACATCAGTTTTCCTTATTGGGTGATTACTCACAATACCGGGTGTGCAGCTGGCACAGTGACTTGACATACAGACAGGCGGATGTCCAGGAATCAGCAGACAGACAACACCCAGAGCAGTGTTTATAGTTACGCTACCAGCCTTCTGTCCAAACCGACTTTCTGACCTGTCCGTGACTTTCGCCACACCAAAATCTGGCCTCCAAATGACCTGATTGAACCATGGAGAAATGGCAAACATGCCGAGACAACTAGAACATGTTTTGGTTGGGAGGTTTTAGGGAATGGGCAAGCTTATTTGGCTGCTCTGTGTATGTAGACAGCTGGGTAGGACTACAGGTGTACACTCACACTGTGATGTGGCTTTGGAAAGAGGCACACTGTGGTTACATTTAGATTCTAGAAATATGTGGGAACATGAGGTACTGAAATGTGTAGAAAGATGATTTATGGAGGTATCTGAGGAGGAGTAAATGTGTTGATGTAGCTTAGAGAATTAATACATATAATCCATCTTAAATATAACTTTCATGTATGTTTTCTTATTACTTACTTATCATTCTGACTAACTGAACTTTACCTTTATGTCATTTATGACTCAAACAGCTGGTTACAGTTATAATTTAAATTCTTCGCACTGTATCATATTGCCTAATTGAAGTTTAGACCTTGACCTTGGATATATCAAATGTTATTTACTGCTTTAGTAAGGGAGGGATTGTGTTGCGCAAATCTATTCTGGCAGTCCTTGAACTGGTCTGCATTAGTGATTGAATATTTGATGAAGTTGAGAATCAAGTGTGTGGGCTGAAAAGCAATTCTATGAATTTTGTCTTTCCCCACCTCATCTTTTGCTATCTCTCTGCATGCC